AGGGTCTGGCCTCCTACAAATGTTTACTCTGTGATTGGCTGCTCTCACCATTTCCTTGTTGGAGCTACAAATAACATGATGGGATGGTAGTTGCTGAAATTTTGGTTGCTGCTCCCCACAGTGCTAGGGACTGAACCCGGGGCCTGCACACGCTAAGTGAGCAGTCTGCTCCTAAGATCCCGCCTCAGCCCACACACTAAGCTGCTCCGTGTGCACCTTCTACTTCCTAATCCCTGGCAGACAGGTGCTTCCCTCACAATAACCTCACATCCTGTGCTATAAAAGGCGAGGCGCAATGTAGTAAAGCCTGGGGTTCCACTGTTCACTCACTGAACAGAACAGCATGCCATCTAGACCAGCTCACCCAGGGACATGACAGCTGGGCCATGTGGGAGGCCCGTGGTCATTCACTCCCTTTTCCGGGAGAGAAACTCCCTGCTGTGTATGGAAGTGCCACACGTTCTGTGGTGGTTAGTCATAGGTTACTTTTATTCTCCTTACAAATAATTGCCAGTAGCCAGGGTGTGGCAGGGCAGGCCTGTAATCTCAACACTTGGGAGGTGGGGGCAGGAGGATCAGGAGCTCAACATCATTCTCACTGATGTGAGTTCAAGGCCAGCCTGGGACATATGAGACCTTTGGTTAAAACAGTAACAGTAACGAGAAATTATCATCCTTTCAGTAAAGTTATTTTTATTTTTCAGTCATATAATAATGCATCTTTACTTTTATTTTTAATGTGTAATTACGGCACATGCCTGTAATCCCAGCACTTCAGAGGCTGAGGTAGGAGACTCAGGAGTTCAAGGCCAGTCTGGGCTAAATGAAACCCTACCTCAATGACAACATACAAACAAACTGGATTAACTGTGATTTTTTTTTTTTTTTGAGCTGAGGTTTGAACCCAGGGCCTTGTGCTTGCTAGGTAAGCGCTCTACCACTGAGCTAAATCCCCAACCCAAAATTCTTTTTTTTTTTTTCGAGACAGGGTTTCTCTGTGTAGCTTTGCGCCTTTCCTGGAACTCGCTTTGTAGACCAGGCTGGCCTCGAACTCATAGAGTTCCACCTGCCTCTGCCTCCCAAGTGCTGAGATTAAAGGCGGGCGCCACCACTGCCCTGTGATTTATTTTTAAAGTAGTAGAAATAGTTAATTAAGACAGGGAAAGGACTTCCTTGAATGGGAATTGGCCAGTTAGCAGGAAAAGACTCAGCTGAAGAGTCTCTTGTGGCCTTTTCATACAGGTATATGGAGGTGAGTGGCTCTTGTTTGCTACTGGCCCTCCTCCACCATGCTAGCCCTGTTCCTTCCTCCAACCAGCCTTCCCTCCCGTTTCCGGGACATGCATTCTCTACCACCCTCCATCACTCCCTCCTCCTCACTCCCTTTAGACTGCTTCCTCCCTTCTCAATCTTCTCTCTACCTCTGTGTCACACATGGGTGCACTGCGCGCATACACACACACACACACACACACACACACACACACACACACACACACACACCTAGATTCTGCACATGAGGAAAAATTGCAATATTAGTCTTTCTAAGTCTGGTTATTTCTCAGTAAAAGTATTCATTATTTTTTAAAGATTTCTTTATTTGGTCAGGAGTGGTGGTGGCGCACACCTTTAATCCCAGAACCCAGGAGGCAGATCTCAGAGTTCCGAGACCAGCCTGTGTTACAGAGTGAGTTTCAGGACAGCCAGGGCTACACAGAGAAACTGTGCCTTGAAAAAAAAAAAAAAAAGACATGGCATATGTATGTTCATACATGTACACACACAAACAAAATAAAAATTAAATAAATTATAAACATATACTTGTATTTCAATGGCTAGGCAAAAGAAAAAAAAAACAATTTTAATGGGATAGCCATGGTTAAAATTTTGCCTTTAAATGTCCTGGTTGCATTAAGTGGTAGAATGAGATGGAAAATGATCCTGCTGAGACGTTACATCAAGGGCTCACATTGCTTTCCACCTTCCAAGGCCAGCATTTTCTCTTACTGACTTGAAGAGTAAGGATGGCAGACAAGGACATTTGATTGATACTTCTCAGGATACAGGTTTTCCAAAGAACAGTCTCCAGCACCTGCATGCTCATCTACAGTCCCCGGACTACGTAAGAGCGCGTGTTCAGGGAAACAAAAGAGTGCTCGACTGTCACTGCTTTAGAATGTACAATGCCAGGATAAACAAGCCACCCAGTGGAGACTCGAGACAAGAACATGTCTGAGAAGTGAACCTGCATGCAGCAGGCACCTACCCCTGGTTAGTCATGTCTGAGAAGTGAACCTGCTTTCCTTCTTAGTATCTATCTGTCTCCATCCATCCATCCATCCCTCCCTCCATCCATCCATTCATCCATCCATCTCTCCATCATCTATCCACCCATCCATCCACCCACCCATCCATCCATCATCCATCCATCATTGTTAGTGTATGGATGAAGGTGGGTGAGCCATTGTGCATGTGGAAATGAGAAGACAACTTTCAGAACATTCAATAGCGTTGGGAATGATTGGGGAATATTTTATTATTCTTATTAATATTTTCCCTTTTTTGTTTTTGTTTTTTCAGGACAGGGTTTCTCTGTGCTGTCCTGGAACTCACACTGTAGACCAAGCTGGCCTTGAACTCACAGTCATTCACCTGCCTCTGCCTCCCGAGTGCTGGGATTAGAGGCGTGTGCCACCACCACCTGGCTTACTATTCTTATTTGCAGTGGTAGTGATCAAACCCAGGGTCTTGTGTGTGGCAGGCAACGCTCTACCTCCAGCTTACACCCTCATTCCACTGTTCTCTTTTCTAGTGCCATGGAACCATCTGGAAAAACCGAACAAGCCACTGAAGATAAAGAAGAGGCAGTAGTTTCTGGGAATGCAAGTGACTTCTGATGATGGCCAACATCCTTTCTGGCTTTTCCTGTACCTCAAACAATCCCTCTTGTAACACACAAACACAAATCCCTTGACCAAAGTATTTCTTCCTATGCTGCCTAAAAGTTATTTGAAGACTCTACCACCACCATTTAAAAAGCAAGTTCCAGGCTTTCTATCTAGATGGTTCCATGGGTAAAGGGGTCTGCAGCCAAGCCTGACAACCCGAGTTTGATCCCTAGGTCACACACCGTGGAAGGACAGAACAAACCCCACAGTTTGACCTCTGATCTTCCACCCACGTAAGCCCCCCACATGTAGAACGCATGCACATGCATACAGAATAAGTAAGTAAATGACTACATAAGTAATATTTGAAATGGGGAAATTCTGGGTTTAAGATATAGCCCGTTTGGTAAAGAGCTTGTATAACATGCCTGAAGCCCTGGTATGACCCGCGGCACCACATAAAACAGGCATGCAGGCACAAGCCTATGGTCCTAGCACTGGGGAGGTGGAGACAGGAGGATCGGCTACATAGCAAGTTCAAAGCCACTGAGGGATTCACATGACTCTGTCAAACATGGCAGGAAGCTGGCAGCAGGCAAGCAGAGGGCTAAGAGCTTACATCCTGATCTGCAGGCAGGCAGAGAAAGATACTGGGCCTGGGGTGGGCTTTGGAAACCTCAACACCACCCCCAACAAGACCACACCTCCTAATCCTTCCCAAATAGTTCCACTAAGTGAACCGCAGGCATTCAAATATATGAGCCTATGGGAGCCATTCTCATTCAAACCACCAGAGGGAGTTAGAAGGTGACTTCTCAAAGGCAGGAATTTGTGCTAATAGTTGCACAATTATGTGAGCCCAGGAAAAGCCATTCACTTTTACAGTATGTGAAATGAAGCTATTAGAAGAAGTTACAGGCAGACTGGTCAGACAATCTGGAAGATCTCTCAATGGCCAAAGCTGTAACTATTTGAGCAACACAGTATTGATTTACCTGGTGGTTAATATTGTCAACTTGATAGGCTCTAGAATCATCAGAGAAAGGGGTGTATGACAGATGATCATAATTAGGTTAACTGGGCAGTACCAGTCCCTGGGTTGGGGGCCTGGGCAGACTACAAAGGGAGAGGCAGCGTTGGCAACGGCAGTAGCATCCATTGCTCTGTGCTTCCAGATTACAGATGCAGTGTGACCAGCAGCCTTAAGCTTCTGCCACCAGGCCTTTCCTGCCACGATGGATCCTCTCATCGTGGGCCAAAAGAATTTCAGTAACAGGAAATGTAACTAAAACACACTATAACACAAAATATGAAATACACATGGACACAAATACATTACAGAATAAATAGACAGCTAACAAAACAGGAAACAAAACAGACCATGCTTGTGTAGGGCTTACAGGTACCAGGCGCTGTTTTGAACACTTGACCTACCTTCTGCCAGTCCTTCTAACTGCCCTGTGAGCTCCAGACTCCTTATCTCCCTTTTACAAATATGGAAATATGTTTGCCAAAGTTATATGACAGAGGAAGGACCCAGTTTCTATGGGTCTGGCTTCAGTCGCTGTATTTCCTCCAGGACTCATTTATCTCTGGCTTTGTCTAAGGCCGTGATTCTCAATCTTCCTAATGTTGTGACCCTCTAATAAACAGTTTCTCATGTTGCGGTGACCCCCATCATAAAATTATTTCATTGCTACTCTTCATAAATTTTGCTACTGTTATGAATTGTGATGCAAATATCTGATATACAGGATACCTGATAAGTGACCCCAAGGGGTCATGACCCACATGTTGAGAATCAATGATCTAGGCCTAAAGCATAATCATTTGGCTAGAATGATTGTACATATCTATATTCTCAGCACTCAGGAGACAGAAGCAAGAGGGTCAGGAATTCTAGGCCAGTCTCTGCTAAATGGCAAGTTAGAGGCGAGGCTGAGCTACATGAGACCCTTGTTCCTTACCATCTCTCCCTCCTTGAAAAAAGAACAAATGACTTAGCCATTTAGTGACAGCCATAATCAGATCACAGATGCACATTTTTCACACTCCATTCACTAGTATAAAACTACTGGAAATGGGAATGTAGCTCAGCTGTTGCATACTTACCCAATAAGTGCAAGATTCTATGTTCTGTCCCCGGAACCATAAAAATAATAAAAAGAAAAAGATCACTATGTAATTAGTCTGGCCTTAAACTCAACAAAGATCCACCTGCCTCAGCCTCCCCAGTGCTGGGATTAAAGGAGTGTGCCACCCACCACGCCGAGCCATTTTTTAAAATTATTTATTTACTTACTTATTTTGGTTTTTTAAGATAGGGTCTCTCCCTATTGGGCCTTAATGAAAAACTCTCCCCTTCTGATGCCAATGAGGATTGAGAGCCCAATATGGCCAGTTTTGGCAACCATTAACGTAAGCCTAGGAACTGTAGCCATGCTTTTGGATTCTCCAGAAGGTAATGTATGGTAACTGCTTTTTCAAGTATGTTTGAGAAAGTGTCACCCAGACACCTTGGAGATTAAAGATAACCCTGAAGGTCACTGACCTCCATTTGTTAACAGTAGCATGCCAGCTAAGCCTTTTCATTTTCACAATCCTCTTCAAGCTGGTGTAGTACCTACTTTTCAGGAGTGGCTCTGTGCAACATTTATTGGCCTCCTGAAATTCATTTAGTCCCCCCTTTGAAGATACCTTAAAATTTATGAGCCTGAATGTAGCCATTATAAGACCATTAGTTCTGCTCCTTGTGAGCTGCCTATTTTTTCTTTATGGTTCTTAGTTGTTCTTTTGCAGAGCTGCCAGCCTAAGTCGTGCTGGGATCAAGAAAAACGGGCCTTGGCGGTTCGTGTTCATGGAGTTGTATCCATGCCAGTGGATGTCCACACGCTCCAGAAGAGAATTTGACATTGCTGCTGCCGTTTTTGCTGTTATAGCAGTGGCGGCCACCGCTGCTACTGTTTCTGGGATTACCATTTCATAATTGCTTACTACAGCTAGCACAGTGGAGACCCTGGCAGCAAAAGTAGTTACCACAGTTAGTTAATCTTTCATTCTACTGGGCATGATAAATTTAATTCAATGGTTATATACATTTCGATTGGCTTTGAAAATTATAAATTTATAAACTCAAGTTCCATTTGCTTTTGGGATACCTACCATCTTACAAGGACTCCAGTTTGCAGTAAGGCTCGTTAAGGAAGGGAATGGCTCAGTTGCCTTTAGCCTACTGGCTATGGGTGGGATAGGACCTCTGTTGGTCTTTTCTGTGTCGAACACACAGATTGCAAGCCCAGGGCCACTTTGAGATCTTTGGCAGCAGTTAACTCTGCAGCTCACACACGATTGAGCCTGTATGATAATGAGTATTCAGAGACAGGTAATACCTGGGGGGTGCTCACCAACCTAAGACAGAACGCCTGTGTGGCCTGGGCAGGCATCTTCATGACGGGTAAGGAGAACTGCTGACGTCCCATGCAACCTAAGTCAGAAGCTCATTTTTAGTAAAAGGGGGACCTGTAGGTCCCTGGCCCCCGTTTTGGGTAACTGTTGCCTTGCTTGCTGACCTTGACCTTGATATCCTCCCTAAGCTAATTCCCTACTGGGTTCCACCCTCCTGAATGCTTAAGGGAAGTTCCTTGTCTATGTATCCTGCACAATGGGCGTTAACAGCTTAGATGCAAGATTGTAAAACATTGGTAGCGAACTTCTGCTCTCCGGGGTTCTCCCACTGTGCTGTAAGCCTGTATTTAAGACCTCTTCCCTCCTTCAACAAACAGCATTCGCATTAAAAAAAAAAAAAAACAACTCAATAAAATACTTGCAAACTGAAAAAAAAAAGATAGGGTCTCTCAGGGTTGGGGATTTAGCTCAGTGGTAGAATGCTTGCCTAGTATGCACAAGGCCCTGGGTTTGATCCTCAGCTCCACAAAAAAAAAAAAAAAAAAAAAAAAAAAAAGATAGGGTCTCTCTAGCCACATTAAAAAAAAAAGAACCTGCCGGGCGGTGGTGGCGCACGCCTTTAATCCCAGCACTCGGGAGGCAGAGGCAGGCAGATCTCTGTGAGTTCAAGGCCAGCCTGGTCTCCAAAGCGAGTTCCAGGAAAAGCGCAAAGCTACACAGAGAAACCCTGTCTCGAAAAAACCAAAAAAAAAAAAAAAGAACCTAAAAATGTCCAAGAAGAGCCCAGCAGTGGTGGCACATGCCTTTAATCCAGCACTTGGGAGGCAGAGCCAGGTGGATCTCTGTGAGTTCGAGGCCAGCCTGGTCTACAGCGTGAGTTCCAGGGCAGGCTTCAAAGCTACAGAGAAACTCTGTCTCGAAAAAAAAAAAAAAAGTCAAGAAGAAAAGTTCAAGAAGTGACTCTGTAATTATGTAATGAGACTATTTAGGACACCAAGGCTAAAGCTGCTATTGCAGAGAGAGGAGGAAGCCCTGAGTGATTTAAGTCCTGAGTGAATGTGTGCTGTGACAGCGCTCAGACCCACAGAGGGATGGGAAAGCAACCCTCCCCCAGGCAGGGAGGTAAGTCTCATCGGGAAATGGCTGAGGGTCTAGTTCAATGGCAGAATGCTTGTCTACCTTGCTCAGAAACATGAATTCAATTTTCAGTATTGCAAGAACAAAATATTCTTATTGCTTCCCTCAACTAAGAGAAACAGAGTTCAATAAGAATTGTTTTAAATGTCTCTAAGGAATTTTGCAATCCCAGCTACTGGGGAGGCGGAAGCAAGAGAATCACCAATTCAAGCCCTGTCCTGGCCACACAGAGTCTAAAGCCAACCTGGGCACCTTAGCCAGACACTGTGTCAAGATAAAAGGTAGGGCCAGCACGTGGTCCCGGTGGGGAAGATCTCGGAGCTTGATGACCTGTGTTTGACCCCGATACCCATATGACAGAAGAAGTGACTCATGTAAGCTGTTCTCTGACCTCCACATGTGTGCCCTGGTGTATGTGCGTGTGTGTGTGTGTGTGTGTGTGTGTGTGTGTGTGTGCATGTGTGTACTCCACCAACACACAAATAAATGAATGTAAAAGAAAAGGGCTGTGAGGAGGAACGGTGCTAGCCTAGCATGTACACAGCTCTGGGGTCAATTTCTAGTACTGGAAAAGAAAAAAGAAGTTCTATCTTTTTCTGTGAGATAACTGTGGCATACTTAAGGTTGGCTATTAATAGAAAGACACAATTCAAGTTTATTAAAATATGCTATCATAAACAATATACTTTTGTGAAATTTTTAGCAATTTAAAAATATTTTTAAGGGGCTGAAGGTATGGCTCAGTGGTGTGCATTGTATATGTGAGGTTCTGGATTTGATCATCAATACCAGAAAAGAGAAAAGAAGAAAGAAAGAACAGGAAAAGACCAAACCAAACAGGACTAGTCAGTCTTCAAAGAAGAACAGTGTCCTGCACAGACTGCTCAGTGCGGGTCTCCTTCGCCTGGCACCGTCCTGTGGAACACCCCCTAATGCTCCACTGGGAGACAAGCCACATTCTTAAGCTTGTCAAATTAGCACCTTGGAAAGCCTGGCCAATTTCCCATTGGTCATATTTTCCAATCACTCTGCTCTCATGTTTAGAGACCCGGCTGCACATTCTTAGCCAATGTACAGGAGGGGACTCCAGGCAAAATCTCTCTCTCTCTCTCTCTCTCTCTCTCTCTCTCTCTCTCTCTCTCTCTCTCTCTCTCTCCTCTTCAATTTTGACATCTCTGAAAGTTAGCTATTACACAATATTAGCACAGCCTACTTTTTTCTGACTCACATTACCCAGGAGACAACTGAAGAAGGAATCTGGACTAAAATCTTATATAGTATCCGGGGTTTCTTAAAGGTTTGGTGCCCATTTTCCACAATCTGTAAAGATCCTTTTCTTTTTACACACAACATTTTATTTATGGGATTCAAGTACCCTGCATATATATTGTAGTTTTCATAGCCTCAAGCATCTGTAACGATAAGTCAATATCTGACCTCATTTGGCAGGCGAGGCCTCGGCACGGGCTAGAGCTGCCTCCTCCTTTTCTGTTGTGTCTGCACCATGTGTGGTCTGCTCCTTTGGTTTGAACTTGAACTCAAACTTGTCAGGTGCCCCCCCTCCCCCTGCACCACAGGGTTTCTCTGTGTAGCCCTGGCTGTCCTAGAACTCACTTTGTAGACCAGGCTAGCCTAAAAAAACTCAAAGATCTGCCTACCTCTACCTCTCCAGTGCTGGGATTAAAGGCGTGTGCCATCATACCCGGCTCACGTCAGTTCTTATCAAACCTTTGGTAGGCTATGATATGTGTTTGCCCTCTTTATAAACGTAAACACCTTGCTATTTCCCAGAGTAACTGAATCCCCTGAAACGACCTAACTATAATTTCAAACATGCTAAGGATTCAGGAACCAGAGACTAATACTGAGTCCAGTCATAGACAGCAGGCAAATAGCAAAGGGAGACTTTATTTCTTTGTTTCCAAATGCACACACACTCACTGATACGAAAGGGTGGGGACCACTTCCTATTATACAATGGAGCTTGCTAAAGTCCCCAAGGACTGTGTTGTGGCTTGTCCTCCCAGTCATGAAAATAAGAATGCTAGTCATGTCCTTTATGATGAGGAAAAACAATGACTAAAATAGTATCTATGAACCTGTTGGAATTCTTCAGTGGAAAGATGACAGGTGCTCATACATAAAGTGCTTAGACAATCACAGGACTACTTAGTTCTAAAAGGCAGAGGAAAAACTCTTCGTATGTCTCATATGGAATGACTGATAAGAAGGTATTTGAGTATTATCTATTCCCAACTTGTTTAAAAGCCTGGAATTCCCTGATATACTTTGGCTTGCATAATACATATAAATTAAATCTGACAAGTCCAGCTTGGCAAAACCAGAATATATGAGTTCAAATGTTAGCTGTAGGAAAGAGAATAAAAAGTACCCTGTTGTGGAATATTACTTTAACTATGTAAAGATGTGTTACATTTGTTTATGCTGCATTTGTTTAATTATGTAAAGATGTGTTGCTGTTTTACCTTGCCTGCCTAAGGCACCTGACTGGTCTAATAAAAAACTGAAAAGCCAATAGCTAGGCAGTAGAGGGACAGACAGGGCTGGCGGGCAGAAAATAAGTAGGAGGAGGA